CAGGTTACAGGTTTACAGGTTCACTTTCTTACAGGTTCACTTTCTTACAGGTTCACTTTCTTACAGGTTACAGGTTGACAGGTTTACAAGTTTACAGGTTTACAATTTAAAGGTTACAGGTTTAAAGGTTTACAGGTTTACAGGCTTACAGGTTTACAAGTTTACAGGTTTACAGGTTACAGGTTACAGGTTTACAGGCTTACAGGTTTACAGGTTTACAGGTTCACAGGTTCAAATTTAACTATAGGTTTACAGGTTCATAGGTTTACAGATTTAGTACAGTAAGAACCATAAAACTGTGGAATACATATTCACATATGTTTACAGGTTTACAGAGGCATAGGTTTACAAGTTCATATATGGCTTAAAGGTTCATGGGTTTACAGGTTCATAGGTTTACAGGTTTACAGGTTTACAGGTTTACAGGTTTACAGGTTTACAGGTTTACAGGTTCATAGGTTTACAGGTTTACAGGTTTACAGGTTTACAGGTTTACAGGTTTACAGGTTTACAGGTTTACAGGTTTACAGGGTTTGCCCATAGGTTTACAGGTTCACAAGTTCACAGATTTAGTACAGTAAGAACCATAGAACTGTGGAATAGAAAGACGACATTTAAGCTACATTTAAGCGTGTTTGGTGTTAATCAAGGCAAAGAGGTCTGTTTACACTGCATAATTGCTGTGTTTCATGTTTATTGGACTATTTTAAGTCATAACTCTAGTCTCAAAATTGACTTTCTTTTCCAGAGTTTTTTGGTTTTCACTGTATAGTTGACTGGTTGACTGGCTGGTTTATAGGTGTACAAAGATTAATTGCAACAAATTCACAAAATAATTTAAATTGTGTCAAATTCCAATTAATTTGCAAAAATACCATTAAAATTGATCTATGTGCACCGGGTTTGGTGTGCGCGCATATTTATATTATTTGTCAACAATTAACTAATTGTCCCGACGGAAGAGCGGAAATAATTTCAGGAAAACTGATTTGAATTCAGGAATTTAATTCAATTAAATATATAATTATAATCGTGCTCTATCAAACGGATCTTTTTTCTTTTCCCTTTAAAATTGTTTCCCGGAAATTTGTTCAAAGTTATTACAGATTTTTTTTATTCTAAAATAAATCTTAAAAATGTTCTTTTTGTAAAATTACAAATTACAATAAATCTTTCTCTTTTTTTGTCATGAAGAATTTTCCTAATAATTTTGTTTCCCGTTATCTATATATAAATAAAGTAGTAATCTCTGTTTGTTTGTTGTTTGTATGTTCGATCATAACTCATGAACCCCTTAACCGATTTGCCTCAAATTTTGATTGGGGAACTCGGGAGAATTACGAAATGTTCTTTGCTTGGTTTTAATATTCTACTTTTACAGGGAAAAATATCTAAAATCGTAATTCACGACCATTCGCGGGTAATTGGCGGGAGTAACTTAAGTACCCCATTGGCAACATTGGGTTCCCTTCCAACGAAAGTAGATTTTACTGTAAACTCCTCACAATTCTGCGCAATTCCGCACAATTGCGCGCAACGGAATTGCGATTGTAAACCCTAGTTCCCAAGCTAGTTCTTTATATTCTAGATGAACTTACGTACACAATTAATAGTCATTGGATTTACCTGTCCCAATACAACCTATGTGAACGTAAGAAAATGCTTTCAGTTATAGTATGTTTTTCGCCCGTTTTTCCAGAGATTTTCTTCCAGGGGCAAAATTATGCTTTTTTTTCTTTAAGTACTTCAAATTTTGACCCTGGCAGAAGATATTAGCAAAAAAGACCCCAAAACGATGCAAAAACTATTAACTAACGTTTTGTATTGTAACGATCATCTTCGGGTCGATTTTACAATTTTTAGTTTTTTTTATGATAAAGTTATTGCAAAGTTTAATAATTGTAAACTTTAACAAAATACAATTTTAAAATCTTGGAAATTTAATTGATTTTTTTCTAAAATCGATTTAGATATATGTGGAGTGTGGATGTTTAACTATTGTATCTTATAATATATTTATTCAGGTGTACCACAGTGCCTCTAATTGTCTAAAAGTACAAAAATAAGAGGAATTAATGAGGGGCATGGGGTCGAAGAATTCTATTTAAGGATCAGCCCCCCCCCCCCCCTCCTCCTCCCGAATTGTAAACTGTTCATCGTAATAAAAGTCATGTTTTATTTTTGAAGAATCTGTAATTACGCTTTTCTTAAATGTCGTCTTTTAAGAACAAGAATCATGATTCCTAATATACAGAGCGTCCCATATCATATTAGATTATCTCTAATCTTTAACGACAAAATAAACCCTTAATACTCGAAAAACTTATCATTTTCCGCAAGAAAATTATTATATAAGCCTTATGTTATTTTTCAAATTGATTTATTCTAATTAAATTTTCTTATTAGTCCCGAAAATCGCAATTTAGACCTGTTGACGGTCTAATATGATGTGGGACACCCTGTACTACAGGGTGTCTCGCGAAACATGACAGTTGGTGAATAGTTTAAAATGTCCAGAGGCACAACTACCACTTTTTCTTGGGGGGGGGGGGAAATATTTTTTTGTAATTTAGAAAAAAATTTCAAAATAAAAGCGCTTTTTTAAGGGTTTCATGTCGAAAATAAAGAAATTTTCAGTTGTTGCATGCAGATTTGGTTGTGTTCAATTCAAATCGTTTTTTTCTTTTTAAAAATTTATACTTTCAACAACTGTAAAATTAGCGATATAAGTCAATCAATTCTTTTCGTGTGTGCGCGGATCGCCAAAGAAAATTTTTCAAGTACCTTGTTTAATTACAAATATAATTAACCCTATCTCCGCTGGGGTACTTGAAAACCAGGATACGCTGGGGGGGGGGTTAATCTTTCCCCTTTCTACAATCCTCTACTACCTTTATATTCCTCCCCCACCCCCTTGCTATTCACTGCGGTATCGGATAGAAATTAACCACGATTTTACAATGTTTACTGAATGGCACTTGTAAAAAAGTTTGCAGAACATCCCCTGTCTAACCCCTTCCTCCCCGCCTCCTTCTCCTGTACCCCGCCCCCTGAAGGTGTCCGGGGCGCCTCCTTGTCTGAATCGGGCCCCTTTATCATAGCAGGGGGTTGGGGGAGGCGGGACCAATCTTAATTGCTACATTTTTTTCAGCAATTTTATGGTCATTCCCAGGCTTGCAATAATAGTAGTTAATTCAACATTCTAAATATATATTATTTTACTACATTTAAGAATATTTGTGTACAGTACATCCACTGTACTATAGTACATGAACTATTGTAATCTATTAACACGGCTGAACCGATCAGCCGAACATCACTTGACTCTAGCCGGGTTGATTTATTTCTTGACAAATTTTGAAAATGTCCATATATATATATCTTTGTAACATGATGGTGGAACCCTTAATATTTCAAACTTAGACTATTTGATTTAACAGAAACGATTATTTCAAATGTCAAGGGTCTTTACAATTGGGTTTAAAAAATCAGCTTTTGTAGAAAGAACTCAATTTGTAAATTATAAAATCTTAAACTTTTACAAAACAATTATCCATTGGACAAAGGAAATATTAAAGCTGATAAATAGAAAATAAAAAGATTATTAAATCATAAACACAAACGTGATTAAATTGGAATTGAAGAATTGTGCATTCACTAACTTATTCACCTACTTTGATTGATCCAATAATGATTTGATTATCGGGAAAATCTTTGTAATTATTCTAATGATCTATAATTCAATAAACTTTATCAGAGATCAATCAGTCCACAATCTTGTGAGCATTCAAAGCCTTTAAGGAACATGAGTTCTTCCCACCAACTCTGAATTCTAATCTTTATATCTTTGCAACCAAATGTCTCTTTTAGATTGAATAATTTAAGTTTGAAATATCAAAGGTTTACACCATTAAGATTTGTATTTGATAGACATTAGACAAGCCAAAAGGGAATTGAGTTTTCGCCACAAACTCTGATTTTCTAATTTCAATATCATTGCAACCCAATGTCGTAGACCTTTAATATTTCAAACTATGAACTCTTTTAGATTGAATAATCTAAGTTTGAAATATCAAAGGTTTACACCATTAGAATCCAAAATATAGAGATTAAAAATTGAAACTCCGCTTCTTTTATTTTTGAGATAAGCTAAATTAAGATAATTCATCGTACTGGGGGTCGGGTCAGAAAACTAATTTTTGACGATCAAATCATTTACAGAATATTTATTGGATTCATTTGTAAATTTAAAATCACGAAACCTCGATAAATATTTTCCTTCTGAATTAGCTTTTTCTGTTTTAAGAGTAAGAACGGATCCAATCCTTATTATAAAAAATACAATTAGTAAGAATGTAATATATCTGCATTTACCTGCACGGTAAACAACAAAAACAGCAAACAACATTTTAAACCTTGCAACACGCACACTTATCTCTAAAGTTTCTTATTTAACGAAATATCTATCTTTTTTTCCAACTTTGGTGAAACGTTTGTGATTATAGTCAAATTTAATCGATAATATATTTCTAAGGATTGTTTACTTTAAAAAATTAGAACCAATGGAAATTTAAAATTAATTTTAATTTGTCCGAGAGCAAATGACATTTCTTTGTAAGGAGCATGGTTTTATATAACATGAACCTAAAATAAGTTTTTAAGTTAGCAGGATTCTTAAGTAAAAAAGTAAAAAATTATTCATTAACGAAATGTAACAAAACATACAAAATTAAGTGTTTCAGGAGAAAATATTGAAAAACCTCTAAAGGTAGAGGTTGTGGGAATATTTTCCCCAATTCTAAAAAATATAAAAATATAAATAAAAGGAAAGGATAAGGAAAGTTACATATTTATTGTTTACACTATATTTAATATAGATTGGTGGTGTTGCATACCAAAAAAAACATTTTTTCAGCAAAAGACCCCAAAAGGAACAGTTTTTAGACTTTTGAATATTTTTCTTTAATTATATCTCTTCACAACAATAATCAAGATTAATGTTCAAATAATTCATTTATTGACAATATTTTACTCAACAAAAATTTAATCTTAAATTCATAAATATATTTTATCACAGATACGGAACGTTTTTTAATGCTCATGGATTGATATTATACAAAGATCAGGAGTGCAGGGAGAATGCAAGGAGTTTTTAAACACTCCGACATGGAGGGGTTTTTAGGATCTAGTCCCGGATAAACAGATTTTTCAACTTGGAGCCGAGGCTTTCTTTTTTCTTTTTTTCACTGTTTGAAGTATCATTGCAAGCTTGAAGGGTTTCAAAGATCGGAGCTGGAACTTCTATTTCAACCTCTTCGTAGATCTTGTCTACTGTCAATCTCTGGCACTTGATCTTTATCATTTTCTCCGCTGTGTTTGGCTTAGCTCGGAGAGACATCGAGTTCCGACGGTTCCTGACTGGAGAGCGGGGAATGGAGAGGGTGGAGCGGGTTGAGTTGAGGGAGGAGGAGAGAGAAGAGGAGAGGGAGGCGTTCCTTTGAAATGAAAGAGAGGAACGAGGAAGAGCCGGGGACTGATATTGTTCCCAGAAGTGTTCCGCAGAGTCTGTGCTGTATTCTCTATCTAGAGTGTGTTCTGGGGTACTGGTGGAGATAGGCTTAGGAAGAGGATACGGTTCCTTAACCTGCTCAAGGGATATCTGAGCTGCAAGTTCAAAAACAGATTCAGGCCCCTTAGGAGATGTTTTGGAGGAAGTTTCAACATATTGAACAGCATCAACCTGCTGGGAGAAGGATCTGGCTTGATCGGAGGAGACCGGAGACCTACCCTGCTTAGATAAGGAGTTTAATGTGTTCCGGTCTGAGCGGAGGTCTGTCTGGCATCCGACAAGAACTATCGGAGTTGCAGGAGCATGGCTCCGGAGCTCTGGAACCCAATGATTGATTGCTCCGAAGAGAGTGGTTGGATCACTAATTTTATAGCAGAGAAGAAACACATCTGCCTCTCTGTATGCAATCTCTCTGTGAGTGTTTGGTCCGCGAGATCCTGAAAATAAAAATCAAATAAGTTTGGTTTTATTTTAAAATCTTCCATGGTAGTTTTAGTAAAATATATTAAATATTAAATTCTATTCTAGAAGTATTGCTTACCCGCAGTATCGTAGATTGTGAACTTGATTCTTTTCCCTTGAACAACACTACTAGTAGTCAAGGTATCAAAGCTTGTCTTATTGTATCCGGCATCAAATTTACCAGTTCGGAACTTGGAAGCTAGAGCTGATTTCCCAACCCTGCTGTCTCCAACCATCACAACTGTACAGTCGTGGCGTGCTGCAACTCGAACCATGTTTTTCCTTTTAATATTTTATCTTCAGGAGATTATTAATGTCACGTCTAACCCTTGCAAGGGACAGTAGCTAACTGAGACTAGGATACTCATCTAAGAATGATCTGTGGCAGGTTGCCCCCCCCCCTCGAGCTGATCTGTCCTGTCCTCCCCCCCTCCTCCCCCGCAACCCTTCTCAACCCTGCTATCTCTCTCCAACAGTTCGCCGCCGTCGAGGAATTTAAACCCCTCCAGGCGATCACGTGATACTTTTTAACCAATCATTGGGCGGGAAATGATGCTGATTCATTAATTTAATGGCGGCTCCTGAAATGAATTGGTGATTTCTGGGGACGATGGAGACTCCCCCCTCCCCCTACTCCTTCTACTCTACTCTACCAACCCTTCGGAGCAGGGAGATCTGCAACTATGTCTTTGTTGCAGGAGATCTCTACTCAGATTCTCTCCTCTCCGCTACAGGTTCAACTCCAGCCAAAGACAACAAAACAGATCGAACACGGGGGATGGAGTAAGGGGACCAGGAAAGGGAGGAGGGGGGGGGGGTCAAGATAGGGTTTACTGGGGTCAACTGAATATCTGCTAAAGATAGGATTATATCCCGAGAATAATCGTTGCTCCAGGTACTCCTGGTAACAGGGAGCATCTTCTCATTAGTTAGGCTAAGCCAGGAATAAATACTCACAGTGCAGATTTGAAAAGATTGAAATCTTCTCAGCCAAATCCAGAGTTAATGAACCTAGTAGCCAGTCCAGTAAATTTTCATCCCGTGGCCTGGAATCAACGTCATTAATCTGGGAAAACCTTTTTATGAGTATATTCGCAAATAAATATAAATCAAGATTTAATTTTAAAATGTTAAAAAGCGACCCTTGCACAGTGGGGCCCAAAGAAATAGGACATTTAGTCTTTGCAAAAAACTCTATATCTTTGCAACCTGATGGTGCAAACCTTTGTTATTTCAAACTCAGATTATTTAATTGATCTAATAGAATTCATAGCTAAAAATATCTCTGGTCTTCGACATCGCGGGATGCAAATATATGTAGCAAAAATCGTGGCAACATGATATTCTGTAAAACTGCAGTACGTTGTACTTATTAATGATTTAATATTGTAAACTTAGACATTATTGTAGTAAATGCCGTTCTCTTAAAAGTTCGTCACATAAACTGTATCAGTCCAGGTTCAACCAGTCTACAATACAATTCGAACAGGACAAGATCCACATGGCTAACTTCCCAGGAACTCCGAATATCAACGCCACAACCTGGGCGCAATCTCATTAGCTGTGGGTGTCAAAACGGACACTAGCAACCAATTGAACAATGTCCCAAACAGAACACGATCCACACGGCTACAATACCGTGACTTATCAACGCCACAACCTGGGTGTGATACATTTCGAGACCTTGTTATAGAGTAGGTGTTTACTACATATATCATATATGGGAATTAAAATTTTAGAGTTGTGTCAAAGACTAAATTCCTTCATAAGTTATTAGTATAGCAAATAGGTTTGCCATATAGTTTAAAACCCAACTTATAAATTAAAATGTTCTGTGTTCAATACATCATGTGTTTTATGTTCATTGCACTATTTAACATCAAAACAGTCGTCTTGCAATACCACAGTTGTATGGGTACCACTGTATAACAGAAACTTAGCAGCCAGTTTTCATTCAGACTGTATTGCTACAGAAACAAGTTTAGTTTGTTATCTATCTATCTATCTATCTATCTATCAATCTAGATAAATACAAATCTATCATTTAACTGAAGAAGATAAGATAAGATGACTTTTGATTAGAAAAGACCCACTTTCAAATCTGGTTATAATTTTATATTTATGAAATAATTCTGCTAAAGCTTATATATAAGATTGGTTCATTGGTGCATAATCCGAACCAGTAGAAGAATTACCAGTTTATTGTAATCTTCCTCAGCAAACATTTACCCCGTAAAAGCCTGTTTAGTTAACCCAATGTGAAGTGGACCCAGCGCATTTTCTGCAAAAATATTATCTGACTGGATACACTACAAATATTCAGATAATAAGAAATCAAAAAAGAATTTTAAAAAATTAGGATTTAGCTTTATGAAAGGGAAAAAGAGAAAAAATGGTAAATTCTTGGACAAATTAAACCAAAAAGAAGAATAAGAAAATGAATAAAATAACTGCGTCAACACAACAAAGAGACAAACTGCGTCACACTTAATATAAAAAGTTGTGTAGGTGGTTCCTTATTAAGTTTAATTTTCAAACCAACCATATTAAAAATTGAAGAAAAAACATAAATAATTGGATAACATGAATAAACTGCACTATGTCATGATTTCCATCTTATAATTATATCTTCTCAGGATCATGCAATGATCTCTATCTTATAATTATATCTTCTCAGGATCATGAAATGATCTCCATCTTATAATTATATCTTCTCAGGATCATGAAATGATCTCCATCTTATAATTATATCTTTTACGGATCATGCAATGATCTCCATCTTATAATTATATCTTCTCGGGATAATGCAATGATCTCTATCTTATAATTATATCTTCTTGGGATCATGCAATGATCTCTATCTTATAATTATATCTGTCACACCCGGCAGGGATAAATTTAATCTTGGTATCACGCATTTATCCTCAAATTTACAAAGTGCCCACATTGGATATCGAGATCAAGCGTTTAATATTAACGATACTTCACACAAAAGTTTCGACCGCTGATCAGAGAACCTATTTAAAGATGAAATAATAAATAAACCTGTTTTATGTCATAGTTAAATAGTGATTACATTATTATGGAAAACTTGGCTTTATAAGGGCTGGTGTAATGAATTGGATACGGTGCGGGTAGGAGGAGGAGGAGGAGGGGGTTCATTTACATGTTTATTGTAATATTATAGTTGATGTCACTTAGTTTAGATTATAATTATGCATACCTTTCAACTGCAAATTTTCAGATGATAGAAAATACATATTAAAAGGAAAACTGCAGGGAACAGAATATTGTCCAATGACATCAGAAAAGAAAAGAACGGAGAAACAGGAGGAGAACGGAAGATATAGGAGTACATTGTTCTTGTAGATCATAAAAGTAAATGAAGAGAATTAGAAATAGGGAAGAGGAAGATGGATTGGAAACATTAGTAGAAGGGAATTAGATACAGAGAAGAGGAAGATAGATTGGAAACATTAGTAGAAGGGAATTAGATACAGGGAAGATAAAGATAGATTGGAAACATTAGTTGAACAGAAAAAGAAGTAAAAGAGAAGAAAAAATATCCAACAAATTAATCTATAACTTCAGAATCAAGATCACATAGATTTAGACAGCTATGCAAAGTTGCGACAATTTTTAAGACTGGGGTCGACTTTAAAGAATCGCCAGGTCTTGGCCTTGGTCTTTGACTTTATCTCACTAACTCTGTTATCCTTTTTTGTAGCATTTACATTTTAGAACAAAAAAGTACATTATTAGTATTAGTTTTGTAAGAAGTAATTAGCAAAATTCTCATCAATTCTTGTGTGAGATCTGGCAGCCTGTAGATCACTGTAAGATGGAGAATGTATGGAGTATGAAGTTAACCTAATAAGTATGCAAACCCTTATCTAAAATCTTTATAACGACGCAATAAAGTTGAATATTTAATTGAGCTTTATCTCAGGTCTTTAACTGTGTATTTAAACTCCTAAAGTTCAAATCTTTTGAACGGAGCGATCCAATAAATTGACGGGGAAATAGATAAAAATTAGTGAACATAGAACTCAGATGGAAAAAGTAATAAAAGTAGACTTTAAAACGAAAAAAACAAGAATAAATAGCGAATAAAAATAAGATGAAAATATTTCTTATATATTTTTTTTAATTACTGTTAGCAGAAACGAAAAAAAAGGAATGAAGATACATATAAGAATAGAAGGACTTCTGTAAAAAATTAATGTTTTAAATGTGACTCAAAGATAAGCTGAATGTAACAGAATACTATTCACTCTTCATCAATGATTTAAGTAGGTTTTTATGGATTTGATGGGTTAAAGGGATTGTCGTGTAAATCTGAAGTTACCCTTTATTTAAAGGGATTGTCGTGTAAATCTGAAGTTATCCTTTATTTAAAGGGATTGTCGTGTAAATCTGAAGTTATCCTTTATTTAAAGGGATTGTCATTAACTTTATGAGACATGTCAGATTCACAACAATACCCTTAAACCTGGATCTAAACAATAATAAGATTTCGTCGTTTATGTAATTTTAAAAGTGTTTAATTCTGAAAATTCCCTCCATTGGTCCTGTAAGAGAAACCCGAAAGTTAAAAACATGAATATCTCATTCATTCCAGCTTTACAGGTTGCTTGAAATAAAGTGTACTATCTCTTTAAGGTCGGGTGTAAGGGTGTTTGCAGACACATTGTCATAGTAATCTTTATTACACTAACTGATCAATATCTTTATAAACAATACTAGGTATATAAAACCCAGGTATTCGAGAATATCTTGTTAGATCCTGAATTTGTTTGAAAACACGATTCTTCCTCCTGAACCTCGTGGTTAACTTTACAAAGGAATTGAGTCTTTGTCACAAACTCTGATTTTCTAATCCCTTTATCTTTGCAACCCAATGTCTTAGACCTTAGATATTTCAAACTATAATAATCTAAGTTTGAAACATCAAAGGTTTTCGCCATCATGGGTAAAAAGATTAGAAAAAAAGAGTTTGTGGCAAAGGCTCAATTCCTCAAATCCTCACAAAGTCCAGTTCTAACTGGATTTCTACCATCTTCAATATAAATCTTTTTCTTCTTTAAACTTTATTAAAATTATTTTTATGTAAATCCAATTCTAATCTGCTCCTGGAGTAAAGTTTAGTCTTGATCCCCTGAATCAGGAGAAGCTAGAAAATAAATCCACTATTTTTATCACTGCTTAGGATTATGAAGATTATTTACTACTAAACATAGTTTCAGCCACGCCCACTCAACCATCCATCTAAATATAACGGGGGTTCAAGGAAATAGGTTCCGCAGAATGTGAAATGATCCCATTAGTATTTTCTCATCAGCTCCGACACATTTTTAACAATCATTCTCTTCAATTTAAACCTGTCTAAATGGACTTTATAAACTCAATCATATTAACCTCGTTATATTTTTATTAATTTCCTAATTTAGATAAATTGAAACCATCAATTGGAAAGCTAGATGTCAAAACCAATCCAAGGTTTGGAAAGTTTTGGAAACCAATCCAAGGTTTTGGAAACCTATCCAAAGACATGGAAACCAATCCAAAGCTATGGATACCAATCCAAATCTATGGACACCAATCCTAAGCTATTGAAACCAATCCAAATCTATAAAACCTATGAAAATCTACGATAACCGAAACCTAAGGTGTGGAAAGCAATCCAAAAATATTGAAACCAATTCTTAACTATGAAGACACAATCCATAGCTATGGAATCCATTCTTAAACTTTGGAAATCAATTCAAGTTATGAAATTTAATTAATAGCTTTAAACCCTAATAAAGACCTTAGAAAACAAATCCAAACCAAACCAATAAAAACAACTGATATTAATACCAAGGAATCCAAATTATTTATCCTTCCCTTTGAAAACTGAACCTCTCCTGATCTCCCGGAACAACCCATAATTGCAAGTTCTGGATGCAATATATAAACAAAAAGAGAGAAGGAAGATGAGAGGATGAAAAAATGAGTGTTGAAACTTGAATATTTAAACAAGAATATAATGCCAAACATGTTGGATAATGCCAAAACAAATCCTAGCTCCGCTATCCAAACATGAATGATGAACCTGGAATTGATCCTGAAAACTGTTCTTGGAACGGGAAAGGGGGTGGTTGTGAGGGGGGGGGGATAGAGAGAGGGTGGAGAGAACTATTTTTTTAAAGGACGATTGAATGGATTGCCTCTATTATAGTTCTATTTAATATTAATGTTTTGTAGGTTTCATATTGTTATCTCTCACGAACCAGAAAGTGCACTGACCATGCTGAAAAGATATTCTAAATAAAAGTAATATTGAGTCTTTGCTACAAACTCTGATTTTCTAGTCCCTAACTTTACAACCCAATGACAAAGACGTTAGATATTTCAAACTGTGAAATCTGTTAGATCGAATAATCTAAGTTTGGAATATCAATAGTTTACACTATCAGGTTGCAAGGGATTTAAAAATTGTGAGTTTGTGGCAACGATTAAAATTCAATTCCTTTCCAGAGAGACATAGTCACAAAATAGAGAGTAAAGTATAAAAAGGAGATTCCAATATTGTATCTACAGTTCTCTAGGGATTGTACAGAGATACACAAGGGAGATCGAGAGATTCCAATATTGTATCTACAGTTCTCTGGGGATTGTACAGAGATACACAAGGGAGATCGAGAGATTTATTGCAATTCATAGAAGTATAAATAAACTCAGAGATAACTTGTCATTTAGCAAGAGATTGAGTTTAGTACTTTGAGAGAGAGAGAGAGAGGGAGAGAGAGAGATTTGTTGCAATTCATAGAAGTATAAATAAACTCAGAGATAAATTGTCATTTAGCAAGAGATTAATTCTTTTAGAGAGAGAGAGAGAGTTATGAGAGTTAGCTCAATTGGTTAACAATGTTTTTACACAGTTGTTTGGTTAGTTGGTTTGTTCTAATGGTTTCTCCGATTTAACAAGATTTTATTTATTATCATGTTTTCTACAGGATAATTGTACTACCCTCCCCCCTTTAGTTCTTACCCCCCCCCCCTAACCAACCTCTTAGCTACTTCTTTCCCCACAAACTCAACATTCTTGTTTAAAACAACAAATTGAGGACCAATGGCGTAAATAATATTATATTTGATTAGTTTTTAATATTGATAGAAAGGTTAGGTTACTTTGGCGGGATAGGGTTCTCCTCCTCCATGCTTAATTATAGCTAGGAGTGAGAGATTCCAGGGAGAGAATAATAATACCTTATTTACCTTATAAAACTTATTGGGCAAGAGCAAAAGGATGGAGCTGTGAAGGAGATGGGAATGGGATGGGAAAGGGAAGGGGAATTATAAAGGAAGGAGATGGGAATGGGACGGGAAAGGGAAGGGGAATTATAAAGGAAGGAGATGGGAATGGGACGGGAAAGGAAAAGGAAATATTAAAGGAAGGAGATGGGAATGGGACGGGAAAGGGAAGGGGAAGAGAATGGCAAGGGAAGAGAAGGGCAAGGGAAGGGCAAGGGAAGGGCAAGGGAAGGGCACGGGAAGGGACGGATAAGTGAAGAGCAAGGGAATAGCAATGGAATGGCTATGAGATAAATGTTGCGGTTAGGTACGTTTTTAAGTTTTGACTGAGGGTTGAGTGATTGTTGTAATAATTTGAGTGAGAAGGAGTAGAATATATCAGTGGATCTTGAACCCTTGTCTCCATGGTTGAGAGTAAACACTGTCCAGACAGTAGGCTGGAGAAGGGTGGAGTCGACCTAACCCAATCCTGCTCAAATCAATCTCAAATTTAAGCCACATATTTGGGTCCATATCTATATATAAACAAGAAAATATTTTTGTAAATACATCTAAATTTTATAAACCCACTCAGAAGTTTTAATGGCTTTGATCACGAACAATTGATTACGCTATAAATATCTGATTTGTTTGAACAAAGTACTAGATTCCATTCCAAAGTTTTTGAGTTTTTGCCGCAAACTCTAATTTTCTAATCCCTTTATCTTCGTAACCAAATGTTGTAGACCTTAGATATTTTAAAATATAAACACTGAAAGATTAAATAGTCTAATTTTAAAATATCAAAGGTGAATGCAAAAATATAGGGTTTAGAAAATTTGAGTTTGTATCATTGACATCATCTACTATTTTGGCTTTTTTATTATTATTATGAATTATTATCAAAAAAATGAATTCGTAATTTTTAGACCTCGACAGTGTTAAGATACCAAATAAATTTACAAAATGCAGTATTTCAATTTGCTTCCTCATGTTAATTTAGAAATCTCACGCCGAATTTTTGTTTGATACATTGTCAATATTTGCATAAAACATTTATTAATATTTTCTTCCAGTTCTAGAGTTTGTCTATTGTTCTGTTTGCTCTGTGCCGCTATACAAGAGATAGATAAGATGAATTGTCAACGCAATGAGAGAGTTTTAATTCATAACACATCCGTTTACACCTTTATCTGAGAAACTCTGAGGGAAATATCGTCGTTGTTTTATCTTCAATCGTGATGAATTCTGTAAATTCAATTCTTTGTGTCTGCTTCATTAACCGAAAATCATTTTTGTAAAGAAATCACAATTGAAAATGATCAGGTTGCAGTCAGAAAAATATGAACATTTCCGCCCTTCTTGAAGCTCTATATAATTAGAGGGTCAACTTAAATTACGCCTAGTGTCCCTTAATATAAAAACTAAAATTAAGCCTAGTGTCCCTTTATTTTTTATTGTTTATTGCTTCCACCGGGTTCCAGTTTACTGCTTACTCCGGGTTCCAGTTTACTGCTTACTCCGGGTTCCAGTTTACTGCTTACTCCGGGTTCCAGCTTATTGTTTACTCTGGGTTCCAGTTTACTGATTACTCCGGGTTCCAGATTGTAGTTTACTCCTGGTTCCAGTTTACTATTTACTCCGGGTTCCAGTTTACTGCTTACTCCGGGTTCCAGTTTACTGCTTACTCCGGGTTCCAGTTTATTGTTTACTCTTGGTTCCAGTTTACTGATTACTCCGGGTTCCAGTTTGTAGTTTAATCCTGGTTCCAGTTTACTATTTACTCCGGGTTCCAGTTTACTGATTACCCCGGGTTCCAGTTTGCAGTTCACTCCTGGTTCCAGTTTACTATTTACTTCGGGTTCCAGTTTACTGTTTACTCCGGGTTCCAGTTTTCTGATTACTCCGGATTCCAGTTTGCAGTTTACTCCTGGTTCCAGTTTACTATTTACTACGGGTTCCAGTTTACTGTTTACTCCTGGTTCGAGTTTACTTTTTACTACGGGTTCCAGTTTACTGTTTACTCCGGGTTCCAGTTTACTGTTGACTCCACATTCCAGTTTAATCTTTACTCCGGGTTCCAGTTTACTGTGTACTCCATGTTCCAGTTTTCTGATTGCTCCGGATTCCAGTTTAGTGTTTACTCCGGGTTCCAGTTCACTGATTACTCCGGGTTTCAGTTTACAGTTTACTTCTCGTTCCAGTTTACTGATTACTCCGGATTCCAGTTTATTGTTTACTCCAGGTTCCAGTTTACTGTTTAATCTGGGTTTAAGTTTATTGTTTACGCCGGGTTCCAATTTACCGTTTACTCCAGGTTTTAGTTTACTGTTTACTCCGGATTCCAGTTTACGGGTTACTCCGGGTTCCAATTTACTGTTTACTCCAGGTTCTAGTTTACTGTTTACTCCAGGTTCCAGTTTATTGTTTACTTCAGGTTCCATTTTACTGTTTACTCCAGGTTCCAGTTTAAGGGTTGAGAGTTCTCCGTGTTTGATCTTCAGGTTCACGCTGAGAATCAATGTAAATTACAGAGCTAGTCAAATAGGATAGAAACAGGGTTGGATGTAGAGAGGGGTGGTGGAAGAGAGGATGACATTCCAATGTGTTTTAAATGTGTTTTGATCCCTGAGTGCCTTATGTTAGAGGACATAGAAAAGTTAACCCATTCAGTCCTAAGCTGCAACATTAAAATAAGTTAAATTTTTACAATATTTTAGCAATCTTCTACTTTCTTTAAAGTATTAAGGAGATTGACTTGTATTATATAACAGTTATTGACTTCAACTGTCGGACTGAAAGGGTTAATGTTGGACACCAGAAGCCAAGATGAACAGTGATCAAAGCAATAATTTAGATTATGATACTCCAAAGAAAGGAGCAATTATCAAATGTATAGAACTTTATCAACCAAGATTTATCGGAACATGCTTTTTAAATCCAATTATTTCTTTTTCCTTTAAAGGCAAAGTAAGAAACATACAGGGTGTCCCACGAAACATGACAGTATGCAGGACGACTTGAATGTCGTCTTGATTTTTGATATAATTTGCTGCGTTTATTTGTCAACCTAATTTTAGAAGTAAATTTCTAGAGATAATAATCACAAAATTTCCCTTGTCCTGCCATTTCCAAAATGTGGTCTGCCTTTTTTGTGCTTTCAATATTGCCCGAGATATGAAGGATTTCGTTCAGATTTCGACAATTTTGCTTTTATTTAACAAAATTGAAATATGAACCAAACTCTTTATATCTCCGGTAATATTGAAAGCACAAAAAACGCAGACCACTTTTTGGAAATGCCAGGGCTAGGAGAATTATGTGATAATTGTTTCAAGAATCATACATGTTAAAGTAGATAGAAGACTAAATGTCACAAATAAACTCAAATACCAAAGACGACTTTCAAGTCGTCTTCCAATTGTCATGTTTCGTGGGACACCCTGTATCAGATTAACATAAAATGACAAACTACCTTTTCACTATATTTATCAAAATATTCGTATTTAAGAAATATCGCAAGTTAAGCAAAGTATACTGAACCATGTCAATATCTCTTTTGCTTTGAATAAAAAGCTTTGAATCTATGAATACAGGAATTGAGTTTTTGCCACAAACTATGATTTTCTTTTTTTTGCAACCTGATGGTGTAAACCTGTGATAATTCAAACTTAGATTATTTGGGCTGCATAGATAAAGGGATACGAAAATGAGAGTTCGCAGGTCGTGAAATTTGTTTGAATTTGATTTTACATAAATCGTTGACAATATCTTGTAGTTTAATCTAGCTCCACAGAGGTTAGAACATGTTTAGACAACTACATGACAAGGAGGTATCAGAGTAGCATGAAAGGATTGTATTCAGACCCTGAGACGGGTTTGATATCTCCAGGTACCTTGATGTCCCCCTAGGATATCCAACAGTTAGCACCCTGTCTCCAGACTAAACCACTAGCTGTGTAAATACAAATTCTTCAGACAAGCCACACCATCATTAACATTGTCATGCATATACTCCCCCCCCCTTCTCCTTCACCATCTCGAGCATTCCCCCTCCTTCACCATCTCCAGTGTAACCGTTATTAACCATTTGTTATTTGTTATCCCCTCCAAACTGATTCTTCATCTTACTGACTATTGTGTTTATCTCCCTTTACGTTAAACCATTTTAATTATCTTTTGATGGGACTCGACTGGAGAGAAAGAGAAGGCCAGCCACATTATGTATTCATCCGAGCCACATTCTATACACTTTTTCCCGAGCCACCTCTAAATTCTTATCTTTTAGTTAAAGCATTGATTTTATACCTTTTAAACCTATATCTAACCTGAGCATTTTTAAACAACAAACAGAGACGACCAGAGCCGACTGTAGAGAATCTATTCAGTTTTTTTTCTTTATGTTTCCACTATAAACTTTTCTCTTAACATTTTTTCATTTAAAGATTTAAAAGAACCCGAGAATGAGTCTTCAGGACTTGTTGTAACAGTGTTGGAGTTCGTCATTAAATTCTCATCCTTTGTGTATAATCCTGTGATTTAGTAATGAATAGAAGGATAAGGATTTAGAAGGAACTGTATAAATAATGTGAAGAGATTGCGGTTCGGATGAAGAAATCATGTGGAATTGTGTGGATTGCGGTTCGGATGAAAAAAACCATGTGGAATTGTGTGCAAAATAAAAAAGCATATTTTGTCTTTATATATATATAATCTTTGTGCTTCACAAGTTGCCTATTTTATTCAATGAACAACATTTTTTAGTAAGTTTCTTAAATCTCTAACCTATAAAAATAACTAGCTTGAGTGGCCAGCGTTGCCAGTGGAATTAAAAAAATTTCGAGAATAATTATTTTTGAAAGAAAAAAATGGACTTTTTTAGCCTATGTTACCCCTTTGGATACTCCTGGGTTCTCTCAAAAATTCTAGCTCATTCGGTCCAACCGTTTGGCCGACTAAAGCGGACACATATATGAGCGAAGAGCTTTATTATATAGATTTAGAAACAACTTTGGGAACGAAGCTGAAAAAAATCATACTCTTGAGTAAGAGAGAATGGGAGTAAGACAGAAAGAGAGAGAAATCACACATATATGTTAATGATCAATAGAAGATGCATTACTCGTCAAATTATACTAGCAGACAATCCTGCAGGCCAATATCAGGGTGTACACTAGATATGTTAATAGTGGAACACTTTATGGTCTCATGTGTGGGGTGGTTTTATTGTGGCAGGTGGAGGGGGGGGATGTGTTTAATGGGTGGTATAAGACAACACCTATCTAATTTAGAGAAAGTATTTGGGCAGCCTTTGTTCTCGTAAAGATGTATGAGTATACAATTTTATAAACGTTTAATAATTAGTGAACCTCCATTTCACAGGACATGTCCCTTTAAACCTTAATCTAATCCATTATGTAGAAGCTAATGTAATTTTTCCAGCCTAACAGGTGTATATTTCTTATAATTTATCCATTGTTTCTGAAGCAGGAAATGCGCAAAATAGTTTTACTGAGAAACCACAAAAAAAAATTAGTTTTCAAAAACAATAACATGGATATCTGATTTATGTTTGAGTAGACAAAACCGGTGTGAATCGGATAGCTTGAGTATAGAAACTAGTGCATGTAAAAGTATCAACTGAGTACTTTAACCAAGATTGTTAACCAATGTTAAAAATCTTCTCAGGGTTTACAACTGACCTAGAGAAATACGAAACCTAGGTTTAAACAATTCTTTATTCATCTTCTCTGGGTATAAAGATTGCATGGAGAACATTCTCTGAGAATCTCCTAATCTCCTAGGATGAAAGGTGGGAACCATGAATTCCTCTTAAATCAGGTTAATTGCCAGGTTTAACCCTAATCCTTGGGCCTAGAACCATTCATGCCCTCCCCCCCCCCTTAGCGCCCCCCTCTCCTCTTCTTCGACTCATCGCAATTATAAATCCATTCACATATACTCATACCTATGATCATCATTACATTCATTCACACCTTCATTCACACACTCTTCACCACATTCATCCGCACTTTCATTCACAAACTCTTTCACACATTTATCAATTCACGCATTCATTCTCAATTTCCTTCTCACATTAATCCTCACACTCTTCACACATTCACGCATTCAATCTCACATTTACAAACTTAAACTCACATTGATCCTTTCTTTACACTAAATATCAGCTGATTCAAACACTTATTTACAACTAAGTTCACATGCAGTTAAACCAAGGTTGTATAATAAGGTTGATTACTCTCGATGTGCTCCAATGTACGGGAAATGTCGTCTTCTAAACACAGATAGATAAAATTCTCATAGATGACTTCACTGATCATATAGGTGAGAGTGGCGTCATATACGGATTGTATCCATGTATCCCAAAGAGACGACATTTCCCGTACATTGGAGTGCATCGAGAGCAAGCAACCTTATTATACAACCTTGGTTTAACTGCATGTGAACTTAGTTTTAAATAAGTGTTAAATAAGTCTTATCCTTAAAAAAACAAGCATAGACAAGACCATAGACATTTATAGGAGTGCATGCATTAAACATTATTTTAAGTAACACTCAAATCAAAGAGTTTTACACCCGATTGAAAACGAATACAAGGTGTTTCATAATAATTAGATACAGGGTGCATGTATTTCTACGAATTTTTTCTAAAATAATGTATTAGATAGATAAAGCGATAGATTAAAAGCATTGTCTTGAAGAAACCCCGAAATCTGAAGAGTAATAAAGAATGAATGGGATCAACGCGTGTAGTGATAAGAAAAGAGATAAAGAGCTTAGTCAATATACTTAATACTGGTATCATGGAGATAGGAGAAGAACCAAGTCGGAGATTGCAATCCATTCAAAGAAAGGTAGCTTGTGCACAGAAATGTAATGTAATTCAAAATGTTTAATCTTAAATTACGAAAATAAATCAGTTTTCTTTGTGATGCTTTTCAATCTCAATATTACTTTAAAGAGAGTGTTCGCGAAAAATGAAAGGGCGTATAGACTTGCGGTGAAAAATAAACGCTTTTGATTGCTACTAATCTTACTTCTATCTGTTGCGTCTATAAGGAGAAAATTGTTAAAAACGACTGATACCGAAGAACCTAGTGTCCATACAACTTCAGAAAGGTGCAACATTCAACTCGGATCGTAAACAAATCAATTTAATTCCAAACAAATAAATAGTTGATATTTCATAATATTTTTTATTTTTCATGATCTGAGAGTTACTTTTGAAAACATTTATTCCTGTTTCGAGGATTTTTGATAATGAAGACGACATTTTCATATTTTCCAGGAATGTTCGATAATCCAGCGCCAGCGAAAATTATTTTTAAAAAAACAAATCAAAAATATTATGAAATATTAACTATATACGAATGCGTCGAAAAATAATCGATGGACTACTGTTTGTAATATCTGAATGATTTGT